GAAAAACTAGTGTATGTGGCAATATATTAACCCTTGGATTTAGGTTAAATAGTTAGAGATTTTATTATAATTTTTTTTTGAAAAATTTCAAAAAATGCCATTTTTCAAGTGCCACTTTACAAAAATGCCATACTTTTGAAATCTTTACAAAAATGCCACTTTTTCAAATTATTTTTTCTTTATATCATTTATGTTTGGGTTAATTATGTTCTACTATGGTTTAGTTATGAGGATTTATGAGGTTTTAGGGGTCAAAACATTTTTTAGGGTTTAGAATTTTAAGATATAGATTTTATAAATCTATAATTAGTGGCATTTTTGCAAATGGACACCCCTAAATAGCATTCTTGCAAATATCCACACAAAAAGTGGCATTTTTATAATTGCCCCCTTTTTTATAGCTATTATATGCAATTTCCCAATATAATAAAAATTGATTTTATTTAAAAAACAAAAGCTTTGTTATTATGTCTTCAAATTGGATAACCAATTTTAGACTTTTTTATTAACTAAAGGTGTGGTTGATTTTTTTTTTGGGTCAATGTTAACTTACTGATTTCAAATTGACATTATACAGAACCATTGAAATGGGAAATTTCAGCGAGTTTTCAGATGCTGACGTGCTCAGATCGAATAAACCGGGTCGAATAAAAATCCAAAGGAAAACCAATGAATTATACCCAAACCGGACCAGCCACCAAAAACTGAAGCCCGAAAAAAGGCCCATTGAGAAAGCCCAGCGACTAAACCTGAAACTCTTCAACGCGTAAAAAAAAAAAAAACCAAGATTGTAGTGGGACCCAGTGAAGAAGAGAACACCATCACTAAAATCAGGAATCCGAACGAAACACCGCGTTTTAGGTTCTCCGTTTACATTTCTTCGTCTCCCTCCTCAGGGTTTCTTCTTCCCATCTTCTTCGCTTAATTTTCCGGTCTTTTTCACTCCCGCCTCCTCCATTTTTCTCAGGAAAAAGCTGGGAGAAAAATTCCGAACTCCGTTCAAGTAAATCGCATCTGCTCGAGCAAGAGGTGCGGATTCTCCTCTTAACTACTTTTTTTCAAAACTTGGAATCTTGCGTATGGATTTAAGCTGGCTATGGATAGAATTATCGCTCGTATGAAAAAATCATCGGCTCGTATGGATCCGAGCCGGAGAGGAGATAAAGCACCTGTGCGTCGGCTAGAACGGCGCGACGCGGCCAAGCATATCAACTACGATGCTGCGTCTTCCTCTAGTTCGTCTATTGAAGATCTTTCCGTTTCTACTTCTTCCCTTATGACGCGCTCTCTGGAGTTCCCCGATCGAACCAGCTTCAGAATCGGAGGAGCTGAGGGTGAGATGGATCGGATTTACCGGTCACTTGGTGTATCTGGTCCCGACGATTTGGCTATCTCTTTTGATGCTTGGGAAGCTTGTAAGAAGCAGCGTTCTTCCTCAGATGTTATTAATAGGTTTAAGTCTCTTGATCTCGATAATCACATAGATTTGAGTGAAGCAGGACCTACTGGTGTTCTTCCTCCTAAATCGCCTCATAGGGACTATACTGAGTCGAGACGTTCGGAGTTGAGCGGGATTGGTAATTTTAGCACTTCGCCGGATACGGTAGTAGAAGTTGATGGTGGTAAGAAGGTGGTGGAGAACAAGCGTAGTTTTGAACGAACACCGACCATATTGGTAAAGTCGAAAGGTTATCTGATCCCCGAAGATGCGGTGGCTGTTGGTGGTGGTATAAAGGGGGTTAGACCACCGGTACTTAAGCCCCCTCCGGCAATGAAACGACCTCCTGTTTATCTTGAGGGATCATCTTGGGATTTCATTACGCATTTCGCTCCAGTAAGTGAAACAGTTCGGCCAAG